CTCTTACTCACCGGGCGGCCTATAAAAAAAGCTCGTCCCTATGGGGTTTCAACGTATTTTTCGATGCGTTTTTCTCGATGAAGGAATTTTTTTTTTGAATTTTTTCTTTATTTTTATGGGAATCTACACAGATTTCTGCATAAAATAAAGCAATAAAAAATTTCACCGCACACCACCTTTAATTAAAGAAAAAGCTTTATTTCCAAAAAAAAAGATCTGAAAAATTCAAATAAATGATTTCAACATTTCGAAATTTTTTCAGCAGCATCCATCACAATTTTGATGGTGTTGAGAATAGTTAATAGATTGGCAAATCTGGATGGTCCATGCTTCTGATAATTTCGTAAGCAGTGATTCAATAATAATGAGAGATATCGGTTTTGTTCGTTTTCAATTTCTGATTTGCGTTCTTCGGAGAGATGGGGAGCTGCTGAAAATTACTATGTATTGGAGGGATCCTTATGATCTGTGTTATAGGGTCCTCATGCTTTGACACTCAGGCTATGACACAAAGGGACCTCACAGTTGAATACATAAGAACCTCAGAATTTGACCACTATGCTTAAACTTTTATACTTTGTACCTCGCACTACACATACACGGACCTCAACTTTCGATAATAAGGGTCCCCATGTTAACAGTACCGATCAATAAAATATTCAAAAACGTTTTTTTCCAGTTGAATTCTGGTCATTTTGGCTATTTCCAGAAGTCTGTAGCTCGGATGTCAAGTTTCCGATTGAATTGAACAACATTTATCACACTTTACTCACCTGGATCACAAACAATGATCGCGTTGAGCAACAGAAATTCTTCCTTTTTCACTTCCAATCCCGCCAACTTTTCTATAATTGAACATCGAATTTTATGAACATTTTCTTCTTGGTAATGTTTTTCTTTGAGCTCGTCTGATATGATATCGATTTCTCCGGGAAATTCCGCGTATTTCTTTCTATTTTGAAAAGAGTTCCAAGCGGTGAAAAACATGGAAACTGGGAGATAAGATTGTTTGATAAACGCCTCAATTTCTGGTTTTGAAAGTTTCCGAACGACTTCAAATTTTCTGATAAAATCAATAGATGTGAAAAGATTGGTCCTGGTCCAAGTGGGTTGGGAATGAGCGGACGTTGAAATATAATTCACTGATTTCGAGTGAATTAATTCTTCAAAGTTCAAGTTTTCCGGAAAAGTGTAATTCAAAAAAGTGTGCTCTCTGAAGATGTGCAAGATATCCAAATGTTCAATCGCATGATATGACCACGGGGTTGGTGCACCCATTCCTGCTTGAATACATTGTCTTAATCTACAGAATCTGCAGTTCGAGCACCTTATTCCTCGGGAACATTGTTTTGGAGCATTTTTGAGTGATCTCCGATATACCATTCTGCACGGGTTACAACAGTTAACCTAAAAATCGAATTTGAACGGAAAACCGGCTTCAAATAAAAAGAAAATCGAAAATTCAGAAATTCAGAAATGGAGAAATTCAGAATTGAAATGCAGAAATTCAGAAATTCAGAAATTCAGAAATTCGGAAATTCAGAAACTCAGAAACTCAGAATTGAAATTCAGAAATTCAGAAATTAAGAAAACCAGAAATTCAGAATTCAGAATTGAAATTCAGAAATTCAGAAATTCGGAAATTCGGAAATTCGGAAATTCAAAAATTCAGAAATTGAGAAATTCGGAAATTCGGAAATTCAGAAATTCAGAAATTCAGAATTGAAATTCAGAAATTCAGAATTGAAATTCAAAAATTCAGAAATCAGAATTGAAATTTAGAAATTCAGAAATTCAAAAATTCAGAAATTTAGAAATTCAGAATTGAAATTCAGAAATTCAGAAATCAGAATTAAAATTTAGAAATTCAGAAATTCAGAAATTCGGAAATTCAGAAATTCGGAAATTCGGAAATTCAGAAATCCAGAAATCCAGAAATCCAGAAATTCGGAAATTCAGAAATTCAGAAATTCAGAAATTTAGAAATTCAGAATTGAAATTCAGAAATTCAGAAATCAGAATTAAAATTTAGAAATTCAGAAATTCAGAAATTCGGAAATTCAGAAATTCAGAAATTCAGAACTTCAGAAATTCAGATTTTTTGAAGTTTTTCAAACGAAAAGGATAAGTAACCGTGTTACAAAATAACCAAATAACTCACTGAATAATGCCATGAAGCATCTGATTTTCCACATACATCGCATAGATTGTTCTCCTTATCCATTTTTATAATTCAAAAATTTCAGAAAAGTAGAAAATAAAAGAATAAAAATCAAAAGTGATATCTAAAAATTCTCAAAAAGAAATATTAGAAATGAAGAACAAATATCAGTAGAGGTGATCTCTAAATTCTCAAAAAAAGAAGAAAAATGAGCAGTGTGTGAAAAAGAGTGCGTGCATAAATACGAGTATAATCTTGTGCCCATTTCGCTACAGCCAGATGTGTTGTTGGTGCGGAGAACGTGATCTGTCAAGAACAAAAATGAGCACAAAATATGGACTTTGCTCACTTTTCTTCTTTGAAAGCCTTTGAATATATGTATGGAAAAAAAAGTGGGAAAATATGAAATTTTCGAAAAGAATCTTGACAGAACTTTGAGAAAATCGGTTTTTCATATCGTTAATGGACCTAAAACAATTGAAAAGTTTCTTCGCAGATTCTCGGTACTGTGAAGAAACAGATAAGCAAATAAAACAGTGGAGCATTCATAGCGGCATTCAAAGCTGAAAAAAACGCCAAAAATTGAAATTAGGTCTATTGCGAGATTCGTAAAAAAAGTAATCGATTGAAAATGTCTGAAAATTTTGACCTACTGAAAATCTTGAGAAGTTTCGAGACCCTGACCGACGTATACTATTCCAAGGGGAACTTGCGCTATCATTGAGCTGATTGTCATGAAAACAACGATTTTGGTGGTATGATCGGATTCGGTGCTGAAAAACTTTGAAGTTATGAGATTCTGAGATTCTGAGATTCTGAAAATTTCAGAATTCAAAAAATTACTCACTTTTCCTCTTTAGTCCTCGTAAACGACAATTTTCTTCTCAAAAGTTTTGCATTCTTTAGCTCCTTGACTAGCAGATAAGTCAACATTGGTAGAATTGCAGATGGAAAAATCTGAAATTCTTTGAATTGGAAGAAATACAATTTTCCAAAGCAACCCGTAAAATTCCATCGATAACATACAAAACCTGGATGGCCAAGTAGGGTTTTGTCGAAACCGGGGATACTGTACATGTACTTAAAATTGAGGTACTTTATGAATTGCAACTAGAAATATTTCAGATGAAGTTTTTTTTTTAAGTTCACATACAAATCTCACAAACTCTTCGGCACCCATGGTGTGAACTCTTTAAAGTCTACTTGCGTCCAATAAAGCATTGAAATTGTGAAACTTATCAATAATGGGAAAATGATTAAAATAATACCACGATTTTGATAATTTGTCGAATTTCGAGTTCAAGGAATTTCTTATGATTAAAAACCGGACCATGGCAAGTACCACATCCAACCAAGCAGATAACCGGCGGAAAACTTCCCGGGTAGTGTACACTGCTACATCGAAAATTTCAGTTTGATATGGGGAAATAGAATTGCTGAAAATTATATTTTTAGATCTCTTGAGGAATTGAACTTATGGGCAAAACATGGGAAATGTTGCGGCACTACCAACTGCGTAGCTGGAGATTTTGACCGTGTAGCTCAGTGGTAATAGTGCGGCGGCTCCAACGGTGAACCCAAAAGTTCATCTCATCGAGAAGAACTTATACCAATCCAAACCCTTACCAATCCAAACCCTCTGCTCTCATGTCTATTATCTTATCGTACACAAAAAAAGGTAACGCCAAAATATCAAAAAACGCAATCCCAATCATTATCACATTCACACTGTTAGAAGGCATGGATTTTTTACAGAGAATCAAAATATGAAACATATTTATGAATATTACAAAAATAGCTAGGAGATATTTATGCTGAGAGACTGTTTCTGATAAAAAACGAAGCATTTTGGGTTTCTTGTTAAAAAGCGTTCTTTTATATTTATCGTGTCTTATATCAAGCACATATCTAGGAGATCATGAATCTAGGAGATCATGATTATTGACCAAAATTCGGTTAAATGCAAAAACATGATATTAAAAATATATTGGTCATACAATGAAGCACGTGTTTGGCAAGGACAGGGGAACATTGGTAGGTTAAGGTACAATTTTAGTTTTTTTGAAGTTCCAAAGATAGTTCGAAAATAGCAAGAACTGAAAATTAAAAAAAGATTATTTCGTTCACCATGGTGGCCTAACTTTCGCAAATTGAATTTTTTAAGCCACGACATTTTATGACCTGGATATGGTCTGAAATAAATGTGGTGTGTTTTAGGCCATTATAACATGGTGGCCTGACTTTCGCATGTTGAGTTTTCTAGGTCACTATGTTAAATGATACAGTAATCACCAGGTGAACATCAGGTAATTTTCAGGTCATTCATCATGATGGCCCAGAACAACCATGTTGAAAAAGTTAGGCCACCATGGTGAATGGTCTAGTAAGTTTTTTTTTTTCGAAAAAATACAACAAAATTCCAAAATAACGCACTGCGTCAGTTTAGTGGTTTGAACGTTCATTTGAGCCATTTTTCAAAAAAAAAAAATTTCAGAAAATAGTTTTTTTCGTTTGATACACAATGATTTAAAAAATTTTTAAAAAGAAGAATTTTCATTAGAAAAAAAATTGAATCAGTACATTTTCCTTGTCGCTGACGAGTGCGCCACATTAGTCACTTCATTTGTTTTCCATCCAATGTATTTTAGTACCAGTATCTTTGTCGATTTAGTTTGTGTGAAAAACACAAAAAAGTTCAAAGAACAAATGGCAAAAAGACGGAGCAGAAAGGTAATAGATTGCACTTCCTGGGGCAATCCGCTAAATACATCCTGAAAATTAAAAAAATTGGAAACCACATAGAAAAATGCGACGTTTTGCAACCAGAAGTTTTGGAACTTTAGACCGATTGCGAAATGGTAAGTTCTAAAACGTCCGGTTCCAAAGTTCACCAAATATTCAAAAATCGATAAAAATTTACCGGAAAAAATCTCATCAACAAGTATCCAAATTCAAAAACCGATAGGTAGACTGCCACAAAAAATGCCTGTCTGATCATTGAATTTTCTCTTTCCACAATTGCTGCTGATAATGTGGCTGCTGCTGCTGATTTCTTTTTCAGGCATTTTCTTGCAAATTTCATATACAAAATCATCAAGGTATTAATGGCAACAGCGGTTACAGGAACCCAGATGAGGTATAGATTTTGGAATCTTGTGATCTGAAAACATAACTTTCTTTGATTTTGACACTCAAACTCACCGGATGCTTGTTTGGAGCACATGCAGTTTCATGTAGACTTGTCAATGCGTTGAAATTGACGTAGCATGTAGAGTAGTACGGTATCAGCAAACTGATAAGAAGCCCGGTTACTAAAGCTGAGCAATACACAAAAAGTTTGGTGTCGCTGAACCAGGCGGGTGCTTTTCCAGCGCTGAGGAGCACCGAAACTCGATGGATCGTCATTAGGAGGTTGATGAAAATTTCGGTTAGATAGCATAATGTTGCGGATAGGGTGACGAGTTTTCCGATGGAATTTCGATAGGCTGAAATATAGTTTGATGTCCGGAAATGCCCAGAACCGTGTGAGATTTTTTATAGAATAACTTTCATCGATCATTTCGTAACTGTTCTAAAACATCCAGTTGCTAAATGAATGGTTGCGAAATTGTCAGTTGTAAAGGGTCTCGTTGAGATCCATATTTAGTTGCAAAAGGGTCAGTTGCGAAATGGTCGGTCCTCAGACGTCTGGTAACGAACTGGTCAGATACGAGCAGTAGTTAAGCGTTGCTCAGCGTTGCTCAGCGTAGCTCAACTGGTGAAAACGCGGCTCCCCAAATCTTTAAAGGTCATCTCTAACCAACCTTCATACCCATTGACCGGATCGATCCAATTCCCAATCGGCCACGCATCGATCATAAAAAAGTTTGCCAGTTTTCCCAAAACTCCAGCAAAAGTCATAAAAGTGATATACACAAACGGTGTCTTGTTTTTCGATGAAGAATAGAATCGATGTTTTATCACACTCAAAAACAGAATCACATCGTAGATACAGCATACAACTACCAGGATGTTAAACACAATTTGGCAGATAAGTAGAAGCCAATCGTGCAAGTCCATAAAAATCGGAAGAAATGAGAGGGGAAAATGTTGGGAACGAAAAATGTCTAACTTCAAAAGTTTTATAGTTTTGTTTACTCAAAGAATTTTTCTAATTTAGAGGAAAGAAGCTAACCAAACAAATTTTATGGCTTAGGAAGTTTCAAAATTTCGAAGATTGGTTAATAAATCATTTGAGAAAGGCTGAAAAATGTTCTGAGTATCAAAATTAGAATTTTTCAAAAAAAAATTCTGAAGTTATGTAACTGGGGTCATCATAAAAGCATTGACTTTCACGGTGACGGTTCCCTGAAAATTGGAAAATAATAGGGAAAAGCAAGAATGTTTAACTACCGTCTCTTTCTTGTTGGGTTTGGACGTTCCGCAACAGAGTAAAGATTTTACTGTACTACGGTATCGTGTGGATACGGTAAGACAAATTAAACAATGTGTGATAGAGTTTAGGACGGCGAAAATAAGAAAAATGAACATAAGGTCGGACATCAATTGTCTGAAAAAATTACTACCGCTGAACCTGTCAAGTTTAAGAACAATTATCTCGATTTCCGTGCAAGATATCAAAAAAGTGTCAACCGATAAAATGAGTGTGTTATTATGATAAACAATATGTCAGTTGTTAGCACTTTCATATCTTTGACAGGAACCGAGAAAAATGGACTCAAAGTTAGAAGTACCAGTCGGTTTTTAGGAATTTCGAAATCTTGAATCTGGTTATACTCATTTTTCTCATATTCTTATGACTCTGATAAAACTTACAAGAAACCATCAGAGTTTTTTACAAATCCTTGTAGAACAATCAATATTCCCAGCGGTCCTTCAGCTGCCATGAACATCGCGGTCATGTAAACTACCAATTTAGTTGTATGGTCCGCACGTGTGCTGAAATCATTTAGATGCTCCAAGACCAATTACTTTTTACCACCTCTTACTCTGAGTAGCCGTCAATTTTTTTCGTCTTGTATTTGCGGCACTGAGTTCTCTGATTAGTAGCCCTGTCAAAATTGGAAACACTATTGTGGGGATGATCTGAATTTCAATATTATTGATTTTTATAAGTTATTTTTTACTTTTAAAAGTCCATCGGTGAATAGGTAAATTTTGATCATACAATTAGACTCGACATTCATATCTCGTTCATACTGAATATAAAACTGATGTTCTGTATAATTTACAGGGAATCCGGTACAGCTTGGTGCCGGTTGCCATAGGTCGTTGCCATCTGTCAATGAATACCCCCTATAGTGGAACAGTGACCAGAATGTGCTGAGGATCAATGTTACAAGGGTCAATACAACGCTGAACTTGGGATTAGATAATTTTTCGAATTTCGGGTTCAGTGAGTTCTTCACAAACAAAAGTCTTAAAACAGCCATTGAGATGCCGAGCCATGGGATCGATCTTTGAAGGCCATCTCTTAATGGATCTCCCCAATATACCACCAATTGAACTAGATAATTGAAACGGTTCCAACTGAAAGAAAAAGTTCAGTTGCACTTGTTAACAAGCCGGAAGCGGATCTTCGGCGGACCGGCGGTGAACCGACGGTGGATCGACCCGTTTTCGGCTTGTTTGCAATGTAAATACCAAAAAACCTGTATTAGAAAAGTCTTCCGGGGGTACCTTGGAACAACAGAAGGGCCGGCTCTTCTAACTTCGGCCCTACATGTTTTACGTTATTTATGAACGTTACCATTCATTGTTCGATTCTAATAATTCCAATGTGCGTAAATATACTATACTAAATATCCCAAAGTGAACAAATCAGAAGCAGCGATTCCAATCATTAGCACATTCACACTATTCGATCTCATTGATTTTTGAAGGAGAATAAAAATGTGGAATATATTTGTGAGGAGTCCGACAACTATCAACACAAATTGATATTCTACAGGGTGGCCGATAAGTATAGGACGCTCGCTTTCAGCGTTCCCTGACACGGTGCCAAGGGATATTTTCGAAAAATTTCGAAACTTTTCGAAAGTCCAGAGACTATATAAGTAAGTTTCTCAGTCATTTGTTCTCACTTCTCCATATCGCCGAGCTATGAAAAGTTCTCCTCATCGTCCTTCCATTGAACTCTTGTTCAAGAGAGGCCTCGGAAGTGCTGAGATCGCTCGACGCCTTCAAATTTCGTCTTCGACGGTTCGAAACGTTGTCGCTGCTATCAAAAAGCGAGGAGATGCTTCTGAAGTAAAAAAAAGCGGACGTCCACGTTCTGTCAACACCCGGAATACTCGTGCAATCATCAAGAAACGGATCATTCGAAATGATGGATTGAGTCTCAATAGGATGGCGTCACAGCTTGGAAATGCCCGATCCACTGTCCAATCGATTGTCAAGAACGACTTGAAGCTCAAAAGTTACAAACTACGTCGTGGACAGTACCTCTCGGACAAATCGAAAGCGATGCGACTCGAAAAATGCCGAAAATTACTCCAGCACTTTCAAGTGCGCCGCGTCTCTGACGTTATCTGGACAGACGAGAAGATCTTCACTATTGAACCTCTTCCCAACCGTCAAAACCAGAGACAGTTATTGTCAAAGGATGACAGCATGTCTCCGAAACGTCGTCTTGCCCATAACCGCCTTTTCCCGAAAAGTGTCATGGTTTGGGCCGGTATCACGGCAACCGGTAAAACTCCGTTGGTTTTCATTGAAAGAAATGTGAAAATCAACTCGGAGGTGTACCAAAAGATTGTGTTGATGGATAATTTGTTACCCTGGGTCACTCAGCACTTTGCTGGTGGTCCATTTATCCTTCAACAAGACTGGGCACAGTCCCATGGCTCGAGATCGACATTGGCCGTCTTGGAGGCGCATTTCCCTGGATTCCTGGACAAGAACTTGTGGCCTGCTTCAAGCCCGGATCTCAATCCGATGGATTTCAGCGTTTGGGGCATGTTGGAAGGGAAGATCGCGGGAAAAGTGTTTGCTACTGTCGATGACTTGAAGGCCGCTCTCGAGGTAGCATGGGCTTCGATCGACGACGGATACCTGCGGCGCACTGTCAATTCGGTGAAGAAACGTTTGAGAGCCTGTGTCAAAGCTCGTGGATCCAACTTCGAAATTCTCTTGTAAAATCAAATTTTCTGCTTATTTTTTGTTGTTTAATAAAGGTTGTTCTCGAAAAATCCTCAAATTGAAAAAATGGGAGCACTTTCAAAACGTCCTATACTTATCGGCCACCCTGTATGAGAGTATAACAAATTGAGTCAAAAAAACTGACAATGCGTATCCATGTTTTTATAGTGGAATTGCTCAAACCAAATCCTTCGAAATCCCAGTGAGTATAACGTGAGAGCATTGTTCAGGAACGAATAGAAAGGAGTAGGAATAGATGAAAACCGATTTTTGGGGTGGTAGACTGGGAAGAAAACAAGGAGGGACCTGAAAATGAAATTAGACAGGAGGACGTGGAAAGGAACAGTAATTCAAGTATGGAGTCAGCAAATGCAAATTCAATCAACTAGATGAAAGGCGCATTTTTGAGTAAAAATTTCTGAAAAACAAGTTTTGTTTTCTCAGATTTTTCATTTTTTTTTTGTTTTCTCAGAATTTTCATTTTTTTTGTTTTCTCTGATTTTTCATTTTTCAAACTTTTTCTGAATTAATTATGGATAGAATCAAAGTTTTTATATACATTTTTCGCGTATCGGGGACCTAAACGGAAACACTATATTAATGAAATTGAATGATTAAATAATATATTTTAGAAGAAAATTATTGATTGATGTTCCAAAAGTTAATTATCATGGTGTTTTTTGCCTCCATAAAAGCTTTCAACTTGTGAGCAGCAAGTTAGGCAACGATGGAAGCGCCTGCTCGAAGGTTTTCATTAGCATTTGCTTGAGCTTCCGCAGAAAGTTGAGCAGCCAAAATTGCAACAACAGAAGCTACAAACTTTTCAACTACCGTCTCTGTTTCTTGGTTTGGACGCTCCGCAACAAAATAATGATTTGACTTTTTTACGATATGGTGAGGATACAGTTAGACAAATTAGACAATGTGTGATGGAGTTTAGGAAAGCGAAAATGAAGAAAATGAATGTAATGTCGGCTATCAGTTGTCTGAAAAATTATTATGAAAGGGGGACTCCGACCAAAAAATTTTATTGCATTAAAACGTGTTAAAAGTTATCTATTTTTCGAATATTATTGCGGAAAAATTCAAAAAAAATTCGAAGTTCCCGAAAAACGCCGTGGAAAAGGAAGAAAATTCAAAAAAAGGCGCTGCTGGGGGACGAGGATTTTCAGTGAGAAACCTAGGCCACGGCAGCGGGCGCCTTTCC